TGCTACTTTTTGATCAAACCATTGAATTTTTTGCAACATTTCATGTGGAAAAGAGCAGAGCATAAATGAAACTATTTTGTGGATGGTTAATGTTCATTGAGTGAAATTTAAATAGTTTGAATACACAAAATGAGCTTGTTGAGAGTAAAACAGGTTTGGTGCAAATACCTGTTTCTGTTGAAAGCCTAGTTCTTGTACTTCTTTTTTGGAATATCATAGCCATAGATTTACCACGCAATGGTTGATATATTTCCTTCTTCATTTTCATTCTCTGTTTTAAATCAGTTGCTACCCATAACAGATGTTGGATTTCATCAGAACTAAAGTCTTTCAGTGTCAAAAAATGACGTCCTACAAAAGACAGTGGATCTTCAGATCCCCTGAAAAATTCAATATCAAAGTTATCATCAGGTGCAAAATTTATTCAAACCAATCACAATTAATTGCAATGCACAACCCCTATGAGTCATCAAATACACTACATGCACAGTCAGCTGGCATACAAGTGATAATAAAATAAATGCGATCAATTTACTGATATATACAGATACAAGATGGCTACACCTATATAATAAACATCGGTAAATTAATGAAATTTATTTTATTATCACTTTTACGCCAGCTGACTGGGACCACATGTATTACTGAAAAAAGTTACTGTGAACCCACCATGTAAATATTGACCAGCAAAAGTTGTGTTACCAGACTGGTAAGGGTGGTGATGTGAAATGGGATTTAGTGACCATATCTAAAATGCCACACACATGTATTTTATTATAGTTCTCATATATGTTGCATGGAAGCCAACAACTGCGATATTTAATGATTCACAATATTTAAAATTTAGCTGCATAAATAATCATGCATTCTTTGTTTTGTCTGAGTCTTTAATTTCTACATGCAATACCACTAAACCCTGTAAGCTAAAAATAAATACTGCATGTGTACCATCATATATTTTGATACATTGGGTCAAAGGTGAATACTGTAAATGCTTTCAATATATATACTTTTTTTTTTATTTCGCGAGTTTCACTGATTAGTAAAATCAACTAAATTAAAAAGTTATTTTAGTGCTTGCAATGTGATAATATTGTTACATTATAATCCATGTATATATTATAAATATATATAGTCTCATATCAAATAAAGTACTGTAAAACCATTTATTTTCACTGACACTTAATTTCACTATTTTGATCTTATTCACTGTGTTTTATTTTCCTGAATTTGTTGAGGAAACAATGAGTTTTATTGTCATTTTAGGTATTCACATAGATTTAATTTAGCGGATTTTACTCATCATCGAAAATTAAAATCCATTGAATAATTAACAGTAAACCGAGAACACTTTTCATTGACTTGTCAGAAATATAATACTGAAAAAAAAAATTAATTCTTTAGTAATAGTATCAACTAAATTTCATCACAAATGAAAGACAGTAAAAATCCATTTGCATAGTAGAGATGGACATTATTATAAATTGTGCTGGCTATATATTTGTTGTGCATACAGCAGAGACGCTTTTAACTTTTCACTCGCTATTGAAAAAAAAAGGTCAAAAAAGTTATATTTTAGTCAAGCCAAAGTGCCCAAGATGTCACCTAATAATGCAGTGCAGTCCCTATTACAGACGGCCTTTACGTTTCTAATTCAATATAAAAATACTAAACACCAGTATGGATGTTATATAATGTCTATATACCTTATAATAAACAGTGTGAATCTACAGTACGAATGTTTTGTTCCTATACACCGACTGGTCATTATATTGACCAAAACACGCCAAGGCCGTATGTTGTCGCCATACTATAAGCTCTATGATCATGAACACTTTCACACTCACTCAAGGAAAACCTCATAACTTACTCTCTTTGCTTGTCACTGTAGTACACGCTACCCGCGTGTTTTTGACTGCAGCTCCTGGTAAAAGCTGCCAGACGCGGGCAAAGGATTCTCACTGACGCAGCCAATCTCGACATTGTTGTGATATGGTTTGAATGATGCAACGACACGGGTGGTATGAATGAACGACGCTCGATCACTCGAACTTTGCAACAGATCCAGCAGATACTCGAGGAAGCCGAAGGAAGGGTCAAAGGTCGACCTACTTTGACCTCTACATTTCGTCACATACGAAAATTGTCATCGGGAACAAATCAATCATCTTGAATTTGTATTATTTTCAAATTTAAATTTGAGAAGTAAGATTTCTTTAAACTGTATACTTCAGGTTCTCCGCTATTCGGTTATTTGAAATCTCGCGTGATTTTAGGCCATCCACTCTGAAGGTGAATTACATCCGGGTATTTACATGCTTCAGTGTTGTATACATCTCGAAACATGGCGACTGACGACGATGCCGATATCCCCGGTAAGAAATCCTCAAAACTACATTTAAGTATTTATCTTGATCGTAGTTTAGACGTCAACACGATGATCGCAATATTCAGTTGTAGCTCTAATACTGACAAAACCAGCTAATCGTTGACAAAACTCACAGTAAATATTTGTGTGGTCAGACTTGGGAGATAGCGTCCCTTGCAACAGGCTTCTGCTAACTGTTTGCTGTTATTTTGTAAACTTGCGATGGGCAGACCGGTTACTATTCATGTAATGATGTTCTTGACGAATCCAAGGAACGTCCATTAGTTTGCAATAGAACCAGATCGTATTACATTTTTACTTTGGGTTGGGTGCATTGTCACACTGCTAGCTGACTATTATGTCATTCTAACCCGTGTAGATAGATAGATAGAATTTTTTTATTTGGAACGTACCAATGAAATCTTGAGTAAAGTCCAAAAATAACAATAGCAAAACAAAACATTCAGAACAACAAAAACTTACAGTACTAAAACATATCAAGTATATAGAAAATAAATTTTGTGTATGTGTGGTATTTAACACATAAATAATAAATAATAATAGTAATAACTTTATTGCATCCTTAGAAATACAATGTTTCTATCAGTTAATAGCAATAAAGATTAGTTGTGATAACTACTACTACAAAAAGAAAGTTAGTTGTTAATGGGATAAAGCAAGTGTTACATATCAAATGGCATTTTCATTTCTTGATTGAAATGCGTTATGAATATAGTTGCCAATCTTTTTTATTATTACATCATCTTTTGAAGTCATCAAAAAATTAAATTTCTGGAGATCATCCTGTGTTTCTTGTGGAAACGTAATGTCTTGTATGATTTGTTGGCGTATTAATTTATATTGTGGACATTTCATAACAAAGTACAGCTCATCTTCTATTTCATTCTGTGAACATTGTTTGCAAATTCTATTTTCAGTAGGTATTTTTGGTTGCATATGCCTCACTTTTTCTATTGCTAAATCGTGATTACTAGTTCAAAATTTTGTCATTGAAGTTCTTTGTTTCAAATTCAACACATCTTAGTATTTTTCAAAATTATAAGTGTCTTTGAATTTTTTATAAGTTCTCAGTTTTGTTTTTTCAGTTATATTTTTTTCCAGAAATTTATGTATTTTTGTTTGACAACTTTGCCAATTTTCTGTATATGCTTTGTTAACAAATCATTCTGTTCTCGTGAACAGTT